CATGGCACCTGACTTTGTGTCAAAACAGACATAATTCACGTCTGTTTGCATAAAAACACTTCACCGAAATTTGTACATTTGAAAAACATGTGAAGCCCCTGCCAACATGTCATCACATGTTATCTTGAATGGTGAGCTTGATGTTTTTTAGGAGTACTCAAAGGTTGCACAGATTGTGAAGGAAAAAAACACACTGGGAATGACAAAATAAAAAAAATAGGAGAAACATAGAACATTTGGCTGTAACAATGAAAAGCATATTTACTGTTAACCTGCTCATTAAATATGTAATACCCAATCAGCCAATTGCACGGCAGCAATTCAGTATGTTTAAATGTTTGATAAACAGTCACCCATTACAGCCAAGGTGTGCAGCAGAGCATCTCTGAATACATAAAAAAGAAGGGCAGCAGAAGACCACACCTGTAGCTGAAGCTACAGTTCACACATTGGACCACAGAAGACTGGAAAGACGTTGCTTGGTAATGAGTCTCTTGTGTCATTTGGATGGTACGGTGTGAATTTGGCATAATGAAAGCATCCATCCAGCCTTGTATCAACTCTTCAGGCTGGTGGTGCTGGTGGTATAATGGTGTGGTGGATATCTTCTTGGCACATTTTGGGCCCCTTAGTGCAAACTGAGCATCATTTAAGTGCCACAGCCTTTACACAACAAGTGTCCAGTGACTGTACATATGCTCTTTCTACTGTGCATGTTGCACTTACATGTTATTATGTTCATCCACATAGCCAATGCCATTGAGCATGCATGTATTCAAATACAATTACACAGAGATATGGGTGTTTTACAACCATTTTTCCATGCATGACTGTTTGTGGATTTGAATTCAAATCCACAAACAGTCCTTGAAAGATTTATAAGAATCTGTGTGACGGACTTAATCTTCACCACTAATTTAATGAAACCTTATCTGAATTGAAAGAATTACAAAAAAGAGTCAGTCTGCTGCCTATCATAGCATTATTTTCTGTCTTACAAGACATTCATGACGAACCATCCAACCTTAACCTTTACATACTTTTCCTGTTTCATGCCTTTATAGTATGCTATCATGTATCCTGTCTTGATTTACCTAAGAAATGAGAACATGATAGCTGTAACAACTTAAATATATTTTATTGTATGTAAAAATGGCAAGACAATTCTGAAACTGTTGAAGCTTGTTACATAACTACATTATTGTATAACCATTACAGCTGGTGTGCACTGTCCTCACTGCTATATCACAAAAATCCTCAGAACAACCATCTGTACTGTAATCATTGTTATTAATTCAACATTAAGAACCACTGAAAACACAAAACATGCTTATTTCAAATTAACATATTTAAAGCAGTGGGAGGAAACCTTACATTCATGGGATTTCTCACGTGTTTC